CAGCTCGGAGAAATAGGCCATCTCCGGTGAGTCAGTGGAATGCTTACACCCTGTTAATTACAGGTACATTAAGACACTTCTCCATGTAATCTCCATAGAAGTTCAAAATAAATGAGAGCCATGTATCCCAGTGGTTAGAGGTTTTAGCTACCAAGGCAAAGAGGGACACTTACTATCTCCTGGACGTTCAACGAGAAAAGGAAATGATTGTCAGCAACCATGTAATTTGGGGTGTGTAAATAGACTGATGGTTAGAATAAGAAAATCAAGAAGCTAAAAGCAATCTTAATTGTATGCCAACTGTTGAAGCTTTACTTAAACCAAAATTAGAGTATGAAAGCCACTTGACAATATATGAGCACGAATCCCCAAATAATTTTTAAAAAGCAAATACAAATGCTCTTAACAATGTAAAATCTTACATCTGTTAAATACATACACAGCGCTTTTTCAAATGCAACAAATATTTTATATTGACCTCTGCAGTCAATTCTAATGAAAAGCTGCTATCACAACTATTTCAATGTGATTGGTTTCAACAGTTTAAACTAAATCCACAGTTTCGCTGTGAAACTGAAAAGCCCATAAACTGACAGCCAAGCACATGTAGAATGACTCCCAGTAGACTTATTTTTATTTTTTTTAAAAATCTGGGTCTCTGCTGATGACCAGATCTGAAATGAAGAATGAGGTAATTTTATTTTTCTATTGCAGGGTCCTGTACCATGTTCTAAATCCTAGAGCAAGAATGGCCCAAGCCTCTCATTGGACAGGTGACCCGCATGAGGCCTGAGAGGGGCGGGTGGCGTGGATGGTCATGCATGAACCCGCGGCCTCCAGCAGGGACGCTCTCCTCCCAGGAAGAGTGTGGACTTGAACAGACTCATGTGTGACTCCGTCAAGACTTCTGAAGCTTGACAGCCAGCTCCCGGCCATGCCAGCTTTAGACCTTTGCCCTCTCAGTACATCGCTAAGCAACCAAATACATCAAAGACCCAAGGAGCTGTGTATTTGCCCCACAAGCGTTGTGGATGTGGCGCCCCTGGGGAAGGGCCTGCTCCGTGGTGACTGGTCCACCCGCGGGTGCTGAGTGGTTGATGTGGATGTGTACCCTGTACTCCTTTGTGAGACCAGGGGGGTTTGAACGTCGCCTTCCGTCTCAGGTTCATCCGAACTGTAGGTCCCCCGCGCTTCAGGGAACCAGAATCCAGCTGGCTGTCATGTTTCCCAACTCCGAAGGCACCCTTTCTTGTCCCTGGTTCATAGTTGGAGAACATCTACCTCTAGATCGAGGAGTGACCGATTCCACCTGGCACTGAATTTCCACGGAGCTGGACAGTGATGGGTACCACTGCCTGAGGCCGGGCCAGCTCCACTGCCCCTTCTTTAACCTGAGACCACGCATGTGTCTGGAGAGAGAAAGGGCTCCCAGCTCTGCGCCTGTGTTTTACAGGGACCGTGGAAGCCAATGTCAAGTTTGTTAGTAAAGTGCACTTGAAGTCGCCGAACTTAGAAAGGTACCCTGTATGGACGCGCCGAGCCCGCGGGAGGGGGCCGCTGCCTGGGAAAGTGCGTAATCTTAAGCAGTCTGTTAGAGACCCTGGTTGATTACAAATGAAGCAGAGAAAAATGTTCTTTTGGAACCACTTGGACTTGGCAAAGGTAAATAAAAATAAAATGACATAGGTGGCCTGCCTTTGGTGCTCTTCTCAGCCGAGGCTGCAGCTGGCAGTTCTAACCTCCCCTCTGGAGAAGCAAATGACATCAACTGAGAACGAGATCTCACCATCCCCCCTCATTAATCTTCCCTTTTGAGACTGGACAGTAAACTATAGCATTTGTCACACCTTTTCTGACTTCGAAGTGGGTTATTTTGATTCCGTAACACAATTTCTGTTTGGACTCTCGCGGGGCTCCCTTCAGGGGTGCAGTCCGCGAGGGCAGCGGCGTGGCTCTCGTACACCTGGCCTCGATTTCCTCTGCATCCTGTTTCGTGTGTGGTTACATCAGCTGATGAGTCACGTGGTGTTTTGCTGCCTCAAATGACAGAAATAGAGGTTCAACCACACAGGAGCATCTGGCTCGTCTGCCAAACACGTTGCTCAAAAACAGGCTTCTCTACGGTTCAAACACTTTATGAAAGAGCCGTGATTGCGGGGGGCTGTCGGCAGGAGGCAGGCAGGAGCGGCTGGCTCGGGGAATCAGCTGCATGTGCAAAGCAGGTGTCTCAACATTTAAATTGCCACATCTTGGAAAGCCCTGCCCATCAGTTTTGGTTACCAAAACACACACACACACACACACACACACACACACACACACTCTATAAAGGGCACGACTTGGAACATAAAAGACCCCTTTTCCTGGACTGTGCATCACTTTGGAGACTCTTAAGGTTAGAGGTCAGCTCACCTGCAAAGTGAGAGACCAGGAACCCCGCTGGATGGGGACCATGGCTCACGCTGTCCTGGGTCCTGGCCTGCTTATAGAGTGACTGGAGTAGAAAGATTCTTAAATATAAGAAAATATTTCCCAAGGCCATGTAATTTGATCACTACAGTATAAATACTTTCTATTTCGCAACATGGATTCTCATCTTCCCACTTCATCTTGAAGTAAAAAAATAACAAATCCAGTCAGAGAACTCCTGAGTCTTTAAATCATTGTGTTTCCAGAAACTAGGGGTACAGAAAAAGTTACTCTCCCCCACCCCTTCACACCTGTAAGAAAAGAGCCCTCCCCCCTCAAATGAAGACCAGTTAGGAGGGGAGGGAGCTGTTTGCCTTTTTCACATCTACTTTAAGATCTCATTGAATAACTTTTCTGGTATTTGGGGATGGAATGACTATCCCAACCCCAAGAGAGATTGGGCAAAGGTTGCCTGTGAGGACCACCAAGCTGGCCCCTGGCTGGGAGCACCCTGGGGCCAGAGAACGTCCAGCTGATGGAGCTGGACTGTAGTGGAGACCCTGGCCTCTCTCATCCCCCACCCCTCCCATGGCTATTTATTGGGAGACTCAGGGAGTGAAAAAGTGAATTTATGATAGGGAAACTTTACTTGGCCCCATCCAATATATCCTAACCAAGCTCTAAAAGTTTCTGATCTGAAGGTATCGGCCATCCTTGGACATTGCCAAGGCTAACCACCTACTAGCGCTGAAACAACACAAAACACACGCAAACACAAAACAGAAGAGGATCTTTGGCACGAGACAAGCCCAGGCAGGCAGTCGGGGGGTGTGTGGGGGGGTGCACCTGGCTTTTATGCAATGATAACGTCTTTCTGTGCCCAAATGAAAGAACCCCAAGCAGATGAGGGATTCCTGCTAATGTGCAAACCTCTCAACACGTCCTGAGGCACGTGGCCCAACCCTATCAAGACTTCCCCGGAGCAAGCCTTGCCTGGCTCTTCCTGCTCAGTTCTGGGTGTCTCACTGATGTCCGGTGCCAATGAGGTCCTGCTAACTGGGGACAGAGCACACACAGCTCTCTGTTTAGAATAACCTTGCATAAGCTCCTCAGAAGACCAGGGAGGCCCCAAACGAGCTGCTCTGACCTGGGCTTGTGCAGAGAAAACCCTTCATCCAGAAAGACTACTTTGAGCTGCCCAAACTCACTTGTCAGCGTTGAAATGAAAAGTGCCTTTATGCCCCGTCGTTCTTCAAGCAATCACTCAACATGGAGAGTCACACCTGGTCTTTTCATGGTCCTTGACATGAGACCCTCATGCCCTTCATGCTCTTCTAAGTATCTATCAGCTGAGTGACATGCAGCTAAAAAAACCTATGTTGAGAGAATATTTCTTTGGTCAGCAAAGTCAAGAGTGTCCCTCCTTACTCTGAAAAGTGGGAAGTGCCCCACTTCTCCGGTTTGACTGCCTTTCCGTCCATGGTGCTCAGAACAGATGCAGAAGAGCCTGCTAGTAATAGGTTTTGCTTTAGAAGTTGAGGTGTGTTGGTTTGGCTGGGACTCAGCAGTACAAGTGAAGGGACCGTGTGAGGGGTCGTGTGCTTCCAGGCCCAAGGCCTTGGACACGTCCTGCACCCTCACAGTTCCATCACCGTGGTCTGGGTCAGGGGGCTGCTTCCTGTGTTTTCCAAAAGTCTACCAGAATATCTAGTCTGTGAATCTGCCACCAAAGGGCCGTCTGAGGTTCTAACGACATGTTCTAGTTGCCCGATGGAGTCTCTAGTTGATCTTTCCCCGATGTGGAGGGAAAGAATGAGCTTTTTAAAAATTTTAAGCTCTAACTCCCCACAGCATGAAATAGTCACCCATGTTAAAAAAAAATACTGCTTAAATTTCTAGTCATGTACTTTAAAAAAAGATGAAATTACATTTTTTTTCTATCTTCTTAGATCTGTCCCTAAAACTACCCCAAACCTATGCACCTTAATTTTCAGCACTCCTATCTATGAAGGAGAATGTGACGCCATGTCCCTGTGGTGGCTCCGCTCAGGGTCACTGGGTGTCCAGGGATGGGAATGCAACCCTGTGATGCTCATGCTGTCTTCATGCCCTTACATTCTTTTTTTCTATGAGGAACAACAGGATCACACAGCACTGAAAACAGTAAGTACAAAAGCCTTGCCTTTTTTTTTTTTTTTAAAGTCATTTTGCCCTTCCAGCATCTATTTCCATCCTTACCAGTGTCTACACCAGCTGACCCATTTATACCCATTACCCATGATCAAAAATGGCTCTCTTGTCATTTACTGATCCTCATGTTTATGTATAAACGACAGGCTTTGTAAAACTGCTACAAATAAGAGACAATGTTCGATACAATGTTTCAATTGCAGATTTGTTGACACACAAGCAATCACCTTATTGTATTAGAGACATTTTATTGAAAATGCGAAAATAGGAAATGTATTATAGCCTAAAATAAATTACATAACATATACAGTATATATTTATATCTTTAAAATATTTTTGTGTCTAGGTTCTTTCAGTCTAGGAATTTGATGAAATCAAGAATTTACTGAACTGTGTTCGTATTTTTTTTTTTTTTTAAAGAAAAAACCCGCTTTCCAAAACTTAGAAAAATATACTGCACTAAATGGATTTCATATGTGTCATCTCAGGGAATATCACATAGTGACTTTGAAATTGTTTATAAAATGTCTTGCTTTATCTTGTGGCGTGAGAGGGGCGTACACGTGGAATTACCTGTACCGCGTGGTTATGACTAAGAATGGCTGAACCAGGTAATACATCTATTCCAAAAGTTACGATACAGCAACCTGGCATTAGAAGGCTAGATTATGACTTAAAGCTTCAGTTCACTGTCAAAACTAAAATGTGGAGTTAGCTCCATTTCCTTTGCTCCAGAGCCACCTTCAGGAAAGGTGAGTGAAAAACAAGCCTACAAGGGAAGCCATGCGGAGGATGCTGGAATCTGAGGATGCGCGCTTGTGGCAAGGGTAAAGGTAGCTCAGGTATGTACAGGGCGGGGCAGGGTGGGAGCTCACTCAGGTCTAGGAGGAGGCCAGGAGAAACGCGAGCATTTGATGCTGTCGTGACTGCCCCTGTGGCACCTCAAACTTCCCTACCGGAGATTGTTTCCATCCATCTGCCCAGCGCTCACAGATCCCTTCTTCAGCGTGAACGGCCCGTGTGGGCTGGTCCTCTGCACATGTGCAGCAGACAGGTGATGACTCCACGGTGGAAGGCCACTGGGGTTACCTCGTTCTGCACAGCCGAACGCAGAAAGCCAAGTTTAACCTGTCGAATCTCAAGCGAGATGCCAAGGAACAGGGTGAAGCGTGTGGCCTGCTGGGCAGTGGTGGCCACGGGGTGATGGATGGCAGAGCCGCAGTCCTTTGGTTCCAAGTGGAGATCGTCCGAGGGAAGCTGAGACAACTGGGACTATGAGGCAGCAATGTCTTTCGGGTTTTCATGAAGCAGGGGCATGAAGTCAACTGTTTTGTTGGTTTTTACAAAGCAATGGCAAAGACCGTTCTCTAGGTCCCCACCTATGTGTGAGCATACCCAGTATGCCAGAGTTTACACGAAACCTTGAAATGAAGGCCTCTTTCGTTACCAAAACCAAAACAAGAACTTGATGGGAGAGGAGATGATGCTAACGTGTCATCTCAACTGTCCCCGCAGTAACCGTGTGTCCCGTGCCTTATTCATTCTCCTCTCTCATCTCCACGATGTCTGTCCCCTCCTCTGCTGGAGGTATGTCCGTCATGGCCGAGTCCTCCCCCTCCACGGCAGACTCATTCTCCGTCTTCTTTTTCTAAACCAAAGAAGACACATGAGTGTGGGCTGTGACAGGGACACATCATAGCAGAGCCAAGAGCAGGGGGAGGCCACCGGGCTCTCAGACTTGGATCTCGATAATGGCTGGGGTAACCTCACCAAGGCTGCACCTTAGTTCAGGTTACGCACCTCTGTCTGGTTCCTTGGGTGCTGGCTGTGTGCCTGCCCTCTGGAATGCACCCCCACCGACGGAACCCACCTCCACCTGGGATACCGCTGCCCCACCGCCTTCCCAGCAGGCTGTGCTCTCGCCAGCCTCCTCCTCGTGGCGGCCATGCAGGGCCTCCTCCCTTGGGACGGGGCGACCTGATGTTCTCGGAGTATTCCTCCCTCTGGGCCAGCCCCGGGTTTGCTGTCATTCTCTCCCACCCTCCTTGTGGCCTGTCCTAACTCCAGGTGGCTGCCTCACCGATGCCTGCCTTGCAGTAACCGACCTCTCGATGCCTTGCCCCTGCAGTATGGGCCCCGCTGAAGAATGGGATGAATGTGAGGAGTCACCACCACCGTGGGCCCGAGGGAGCCACCCAAGTCTTCCTGCACCTGGGAGGAAGGTGTGTCTGTCACCGCATCTCACCTGCTTCCGATAGACGTAGCATGCAGCTATAGCGACCATGGTGGATTCTCCCACAAATCCCGCCAGGAGGGAGCCCACACCCAGGGTGGCTCCGTGTACCCTGGGGATGAGAATGCAAAAGCCATTAGTTTGTTAAAGCCATGCTGAGGCCCGTCAGAGTCAGATCCAGCCGGGACCCAGGGAAGGCGTAGACAACAGAGGCACCAGACAACTGCATTCAACACCTGCACCTGAGGAATGGCGCACCGCATGGGGGGGACCTGGACCTCCAGGCAGGGCCCTCCCACTGGCCGTCCAGGTCTCTGGGCATCTGCTGGTGGCCGGCCACTGGGGAGCCCACGGCACCTCCCGCCACTCCTCCCTGCACCGCGGGCTTCCGAATTGGAGGGAATGAGTAACGCCCCTCCCATGGGGGACGGGAGCCTTCGTAGGCACTCAATAAATACATGCATGGGCCTGACCTTGAAAGTACTTTTCTACAGTGGATCTCAACAGCTTCCCACCTGGTGCGCAGGCAGAGAATAAGACACAACTCTGCAATTCTACTTCTAGAAATGCTTGGGGACTTGGCATGAAAAAGCAAATGTAAACCTCTCAACAGAGCACTTAAGTGGCAGAAGGACCCACTGCCCCAAACGCCCGACGACGACCTACCCCAGGTAGGGCAGGACCACGAGGCTGGTGATGAGGACGATGATCCGCAGCACGGAGCTGGGGGCCAGGACAAAGGTCTTCTTCAGTGTCATCAGCCAGCCAGTGAAATGAGCCCTCACAGTGACTAAGGGGAGAGCAAAGGACTGGTCAGTGATGACCTGCTTCTCTAGGTCCTGTAGCTTCTACTCTGGGCAGCACATCTGGGGTCCCCTCCACAAGGTCTGCACCCCCTCCTGTGGGTCCCGCCTGCTCCTGGGACAGTCCTGTCCACTTCTGCCACCCCCAGCCCCACTCTGCCCATAGCCTTAAGCTCTGATCCTTCCTCTCCAGAAGAGGAAACTCAAGAGAAAAGAGAAGAGTTGATGGTGATCAAATCTGATTCTGAGTGGAAAGAAATGCTGGGCCAGAGGGCCAGAAGCCCAGAGACGGGGGTGTTGAGGAGAAAAGGGGGCTGCCCTTGTCTTCCTCCCCGATTTCCTGCCAGCCATCCCTGACCTCTCAGACCTCAGGCATCCCCTTTCTCCTTCCCTAACGGTTCCCCGGCACTCCCCGCACATGTTTTCATTGATTTTAGAGAGAGAGGGAGAGGTTCCCTGTCATTCTGATAGGGTGATATTCCACAGAGCCTTCACTCCACCTTCCCATCAGACATGGACTGCAGGAGGCAGGGTGCCCAGCCTGTGTGCAATGGAGGGGCTCCCGGGACATGTGAGCTACTGACTGAATTTTGTTTTGGAGGAAACAGACACCGTTATCAGCAAGAAGTGCCCTGAATGCTTGATCTGAAACTGCAGTGGGTGTGTGGGGGTATGGAAGTGGGAGGCCGAGTTCTTTCTCCCTGTGGGGTGGGACCCTGTGAGGGGGGAAGGAAGTGTCATTCCTGGGGTGAAGACTAGTGTCCACGGTATGTGTGGAGGAGGATCTCCTGTCCTGGGCTAACGGTGGGCCCTGCCGGCCCCAACGTGCAGGGTTGTATTTAAGAGGCACAGACACACAGTTGGGTTTGGCCAAGGGCAAAGGTGAGGGCGCACAGGTGGAATGCTAATCTGGTTGGCCTAAACCCAGCAGCTTGCAAAGACAGGTAGAAGCCGATGGCTGTCTGGAAGCCCTGCGGATGACAGGGAGGAAGTCGAAGCTAGAGGAGAGAAAGGTGAGTGAGTCCCACCCAGCCTGGCTGGAGTTCTCTGGGACCTCCAGCTCCTCCTTCAGTCAACGTGCCTTAATCACCAGGGAGGGCAGCCACCTCTAGGTGGCCTCACCTTCCAAAGCTTGGCTCCCCAGTGTCCTGTCTCCCCTCTGCCCCAGCAAATGGCCCTGATCCTCCATCCCTGCCGCAGCTGAGAAGGTGGCATCTGAGAGACGCAGCCTCCAGGAATGCTCGGCCTCTAAGAGCAGGGACAGCTTGAGGCCGACTTAGGGACAGCACAGGGCTGGCGGGTGCACCAACGGTTCCGCCCTCAAGTAGCTCCATGGGCCCATATCTTAACCTCACTGTGGCTCTGTAGATTTTGGCTTCTCAGCTCAATGATTAGGGTGGAATTTTGGGGCCATAAAATTTTTAACAGGTAACAACATGTACTTGGTACAGAATATAGTACAAAGGTCTTCCTCCCCGTCCTGACTCCCCTGGGCCCTTGCCCTGCTTCCCAGAGGCAGCCCCTTAGTTACCCCAAAGTTAGTACTTTGGTGAGTTGTTTCTAGAAACAGTACTTAGATATGCAAGCATTTACCCTAAACATATTCTATACAGTCATACATATATGTGCCATTGAAAAGGTAGCATACTAATCAACCGTTCTGCAATCCACTTTTCTCTTTCCATAAAGAGCTGCCTCCTTCTTTATGGCATACCTCACACTACTCTATTGGTTTGGGAATTTTTAAACTGGCTTCTATTTTGGCTCTGGGCTTTCCATCCCGGCCATAAGCCATCTGGCCTCAGTTCTTACCTCCAGCAGTCCATCTCTTTCTTTGTACCTCTCCAGATTCTTCAGTCTAGTTCCCCCCTTTTAGTTCTTCAATTAACACACCAAAAAATGAACTTTGAATGCAAAGTTCTAAGAATTTTAACACAGGCCTAGATTTGGGTCACCCCCACCACAGTCAGGACGCAGAGTGGTTATATTGCCCGCGAACTTCTCACACGGTCCCTGTGGGTCTACTTTCTTTTTACCGTGTTTGCAACCACTCCCCTCAAAGAAACAATATTCCTGTTTGATTCACCTCGTGGACTTTCATCTTACTGGGTAATGCCTTTGCGTCTTTCCAACCCACTGTGAAAACATGCACGTTTGTTTGGGACATGACTGCAAACATTCCCAAAGAAAGGAGACTGAATCAGGCATGAGGGGACACAGGGACTGGTCTTCCGATCTGTTTTTCTTTACCTGGAACTGGGAAGAAGGAGAAGATACGCAAAGGAACAACACAGAGTTCTGCAAAGGCGAAGTCCACTCCAATGATGTCTATCAAAATTTTCTCAGAGACGTTGGGGGTCCAGAACATCACAAAACAGAGCTGGGGGAAAGATAAGCAGCCAGGTGTGAGGGACAAGCATACATGAGTGGAACGAGAAAGCCCGGCATTCTTATCCCGAGCGGCTCGGAGGGAGGACGATCCTGCCCAAGCACACCGACCCTCCCCCTGCTTTGTTCTCACCTGCTGACACAGGCCCTGGCCCATCTGCCACATCTGCCCCGTAGGGACGCAGGCAGGGGGCAGAGGTAGACGCACCTCAGTGGGTAACCAGGCCAGTGAGAGAGACCAGTCTGCTCTCGTGGAAGGCTTAACTAGACTGCTGATCCGCTCAGTCTGTTCAGGGTGAATGTGCTTATTAATGTAATTTTTACATCTTTCACCGAATAATAAAAAGTGACCTCAAAGCACCTGGATGTATGCAGAACCACTGAGTCAGCACAGCCAACAGAAAAGGAAATGGTGATGCTCAGATTAATTACAGGCCTGGGAACCCGTCAAGGTCTAATTCAGAGAACGAGAGACAACAGCCATGAAATTGGGGATTTGGGAGAGCAGACGGGAAGTGGGTGGTCGGATTGAACAGCCCCGAGGAAGTGGGTCTGAAAAGGACGGGAAAGTGGAGCGCAAATCAAGCCAGTTCCACATACTTCTCTCCCTGTCTTAAGATGCAAGTGCGTGATTCCTCTCTGAAATGGAAGTGAATACATCATAAAATGAATTACAGTCTTGTGAAAACCCAAGACTGAAATTTCAGACTATAACACCCGACTTTGGGTATTGAATTAGGATGGTCCTGTTCACTCTGTCACGTTGAAATATTTTTTCAAAATACCTGGGAGAATCTAGTATATGTTTCACTTGACAAATGCAATAGAGCTTTAATTCTGTCATATCGTTTTCAGCATCTGGGAAGAATGTCCCATTGGTTTTCAAAAAATGACAGATGGATCATCATTTAACCCTCTTGTCTCCTGCCTGTTCTTACAACCTATCTTTGACATGAAGGGAAAAATACCTCCTCAGATGTAGCAACTCAGAGCTCAGAGGCGTTATCACCTAGTGGCCTAAACAAGTGGCCCTGTCATCATTTTTTCCCATGACAAAGCTGCCAGCCTGAAACGGTGTGGGATCGCTTACGCCCACAGCCCGGGTATGGCGACAATTTCATATCGCAACTTCAAAATGACACTGAGCAGGGCAGTGAGACCATTCATTTTCCTGACAAATATTTTCCACAGCAGTAAAGCTGTAAAGATTAAGATAAGTGAGCACGGCCCCAAGTCTGGACTTGAGCCTTAGGTCCTATGAAGGGTAAGCCATCCTGACTTTCCCCAGTGGCTGAAGGGGGACCCCTGGGCCATCCTCTACTATCAGGGCTTCCAGGACAATCACTGTAGTGCTGCAGGTATTTTGTAGCCAGCGATGATCTGATGCAAGATAATGTCTCATGCTGCAACCATGTTGCAATCTCTTTGCAAAATCACTGTAAAGTGGCTTTTAGGTTACAACAGACCAAGGGGAAAGGAGGGTGTCACTGTGTGTCAGAGAGAAAGTATGAGCAAGCGTCTGTGGCAAAGCCAGGTAGTTACCCTGGGACTCTGCATGACCATGTGCCCCCCCTTTCCCCCCGCCGAGGCTGTTTATGGCCTTGCAGGACCTGACCAGTGACCTTTGGAGGAGTAAGTCCAATTGGAGGACAGAACAATAATGAGCGCACCCAAATCACCTGAGACATTCACATAAATATCCAGTAACCTGGGCGAGTGACCACAGTTCTGTCCCCTTGAAAACAAAACGATAAGAGTTGATGAATCTGTAATAGAGCTTCCCAGGAGGGTGCTTTAGATATTACATTTCTAAAATTCCACAGTGCGATTTCACTTGGCACCACTAAACCACTCTGTTCTCTCCCTGGTACCTGTCTGTGCCAAGCATGCCTTAAATGCCCGGCAAGGCCACACACACCTGGGCAGCCTCCTGAGTTCTCAGCCACGCACACCTGGAGCCTAGGCTGGGTCTTCCCGAGCAGGGTAACTGCAGGTGGCCAGCCGGCTCTGGGGCTCGAGCAGCCACAGGTAATTACACAAAGGGAGGGAATGCACGTGTACCATACTGAGGCTTCCTTCCTTTTCTCCCAGAAGTCTCTGATTTCGACACTTTGCCTCTGCCATGCTTCCAGTCCGAAAAATGCTCCTTGCCTTCCAGCAAGTTCCCAAACAAAGGAACAAGTCTTGCCTTGCCCGGACAGGATACAGGCGGCACAGAAGTCGATATGGTGCTGGTTAGAAGCGGCAGCACCCATCTGCAGGCCAGCCTTCCCTGAGGAAAGGATGGAGCCCCTGCATAATAATCAGACCAAATGTAACCAGCCTGTCTCAGAAAACAAGGGGCTCTGGAAGTTAGCCTCACAAAGAATATTTCCGGAAAGTGCCATTCTAATGAGTTCACCCAGAGTAGTACTGACTTAGAACGCGCCCTCCCAGTTGACCTGACGTGCTGTGTTCCTCAAATATTTGCAGAGCCTAACGACATTGACTTTTCCAAACCAGGACACAGACCTAATAAACTACTGACAATGAACGTGATTTATGCCTTGGAGCAGCTGCAGGGTTGGCTTTTCTGCTGCAGAGCTTGCTGTCAATATTATCTCATTAGGAAGCAGCCAGCAAATAGAACCACCCACTCAGTGCCCAGATCTTGGTTTTTCTATTTATTTTCCAATAAAAGGCAACAGGGCTTCATGGAGAAATGGCTCATTCTAGGACTAGGGCTGGAAATATACAAGATGATCAGCAAGGAATCATTATGTCAAAGGACACCGGAGCCCAGCAGAAAGCGTTCCCAACGGGCAAAGCTGGAACAATTTGAGCAACAAAATAAATAATGTGGTACTGGATTATGACCCAGCATATACCATAAATGCCCAGGAGCCAATATTGATATTAATAAACAAACAGGGCCAGATCTCCTGCACAGAACTTCAGCTAACGCATGCCGATGCTCCCCTCTCGGGGGGGCGGGGCATACCTGTTCCTCCCCATCCAGAAGTGTGGGCTGACCACTGTAACTTCCTCCCAAGGACAGGACGGCATGGAAAGGGGGGACAGGACCTTTCCAGTGGGGAGACCAGGCAACCATGACCTCGGCCAGGTGACCGAGGCCAATATCAGCAGTGACAGGTCACGTTGACAGCATGTGCTCTCAGTAAGATGTGATGATGAGACCGGCACTTTACCGTGTGGTCTTCCTCCCCCAAATCCAAAGCCCCCTCTAAGCATGAGGAAAACCTCAGACAAACCCGAACTGAGGCACATTCTACACAAAACCTAACTGGTATTCCTAAAACCGGTAAAGCCTGGAAGAAGAGCAAATCTCTGAGAATCTCTCACGGACCAGAGGAGGCTACGGAGACAGGACGGCTACATGGATGGGAGCCTGGGAAAGGATGTCAGGAGAAAGCTGCCAACGTCTGAATTAGCGGTGGAGTTTGGTTCATAGTAAGGTGTCAAAGCTGGTTCCTTAGCTGCGCCAAATGGACCACAGCAAAGTAAAGTGTGAGTGAGGGGTGAAGGGTATGTGGGAGGTCGGCGCTATTTTCACAATGTTCCTGTAAATCTAAAATCATCGAGAAATAAAAAGGTTATAAAGGAGGGGGTGGGGCGGAGACGGAGAGGAAGACCTATGACCTATGACCCATGACCCTTTTATTTGTCAGACTGTGGTTCTTTTTCTGGGGACCAGGCACTGACCATGCGATGCCTACTTAGAACTTTGAAACACTCATATCTCAACATATACTCACCTCCTGTAGAGTGTAGTCCACTCCAGACACAATCTACCTTCCCTTTTCTCTCGCTGCATTAGGCTCCTTGGAAAATACCCCTGGCTGGGCTGTAGCCCTTGTGTGCATGGCCTTAGCACAGTTTCTGGTTAGTGTATGTGCCATGGTCAGATTTCTGATGATGGTTTGGTTGGGCAGATCTGTGAGCAGTTTAGCATCTTCCTTAGAAGCTTTCCGTCAAGCAGTCTTTACCTGCATATAATTGTTCTGTGCTCGGGGCAGCATTTAACCTTTCATTTCTAAATCCCTGTAATGATGAGCTAAATTATGTCAGAGTTTTACCATAGATTAAGATCCCCGAATAGAATTATAGTGCAGTAAGGATGGGGGAAGCCCAACTCTTACAGAAATAATACCCCCATCCATGATGCGACAGTCTGAGCCCATATGTCCAGAACCTCTGAAGGGGCCTCTTTCCCCAGACCTGCTTCCTCAACCACGGAGTCTGTTTCTGACCTGTCTTGGGACAATCCCAGACTCTTTCCCAAGAATTCTGGATTGGGATCTGAAGAAGCCAGTTGTCTCTGTCAGGATTTGAACTCAGAGCACACAACAACCCCGCCACCGCGGCACAGCTACTGCTGCCCGGCAGGAGGGGATTCCTTCCACGAAGGAGCACTGCCAAGAGCTCCGGTTTAGACGGGGCTTCCCGAGCTCCCAACGCTCCCACCCAGCGTTACCACCATGACCCCGCACAACCAGGGTCACACCAAGTCAGAGACTCTTGTCCCCTGCAGCTAGAAGTAGAACACATGCAGCTGTTTTGAGTTAAAACAGCTGGCCCTGGACATCGTGTTTATTTGGAGCTTTTACTTAGAAAGAGAGGCTCTACAGCTGTTTAAGTCTCCCACTGGGTACACCAGTGGTTAACCCTCAACAATGCCGCCTACAAAGAGGTGGTTACAGCTTGGCTCTGGACTGTGCGCTTGGTGAGTACGCTGCTTTACATTCTGGTGCCAGCTCCTCAGCGCCTCTCGGGTGACCAGACCGCGTGCCTGTGGCCCCACGGGCTGCCCAAGCGCTGCGACCCATGCAGGGACGGTGAGTGCGACCCCCCGATCTTACGCCATTACTGCAAAAGGTTTCCTGGGACCATCATAAATGCTAACGGGGAAGCCGTCTGCCGGTGGTGAGATTAGGACTGATTTTATTTTCCTCTGGACTTCCCCCGTCTTCTACAAAGAACATGTATTTCTTT